GATACAAAATTTTGGACGTCTATTACTCTATTAAACTTGCACTAGCAAAAAAAATAAAAATAAAAATTTCAATAAAATAAAATAACCAAAATACCCTTGAAAATTTATTTTGGTCATTATATTTTATCTAAAATTTATTTTTAATATTTTTTATAGGTGTGCTCCAATGAGCAAATGGTATATATCAAATTTTATATTCATATAATTCGTATAAAAAAAAACAAAAAATAAAATACTTTAAGACGTGGGATCTAAGATCAAACGGTAAGTGGCTCTCTTGATCAAAATTGGACGGTTGGATGGTAAGGAGGAGGATAAAACTTCTATGTTGTAGGGGGAACATATAAAATACTGTCTGAAAAAGTATTGTAGTCGAGGATAAAAATCCCCAATCATCTCCTACAGTTGCAAAACCTAAACGTGACCCCTCTCTCTCTCTCTTTGACGATGTTACAAACTTTTATTGCTTAAAAATGAATTATATGGAACTGAGACAATAATAAGGTCATCTGCAACAACTGTTTCTTTCTGCCAAAGAATTAAAAAAACCCCATGCTTAGCCAAACGGTCCGCAATATCATTTGCTTCCCTGGGATACATGGGTAAAAGAGATGGCAGCATAAATAAACTCTCTCTGCCCAAATACATTAAAATCTCTAGCAGGCTTCGATACTTTGTTGCACCAATTTATAATGTTTTGCAAGTTCCCTTCCGCCACAAAAACCTACCCCTTGAAATTAACCTTTGATACATCTCAGGCCTTGTAATTCCTCTTTATTTGAAGTTGCAACCCAACCCCCCGAGGCCATACGTAAGAAAGAAGAAGAATCACTTCACTTGTATCTTTTAGAATCCCTCTAAACCCCTGTTGGCCCCGGATTTTCAAAAGAAGTGCTATCAAAGTTAAGCTTCAAACAACCTTCTTGACGTCGGCACGGCACCATCTTCCCTTTGGTCTTAATTTCCATGCCACATTTTTCAGATTGATCCAAATGTCAATCTCTAAAGTACCCCTCCCTTCCCTGCTTTTGAAATCGAGAACCAGCTCCGTACTCCAAAAAGCGTAGCCTCTTTCATCTCTGTCGGACTTCGACTTGTAGCTTTAAAAGTTCTATTAATATACGCCCACATTTAGGTAACCCTGGAGGGTCCATTTGAAGCAGTAAGACCCTATAGCTCCTAGACAACGCCATATTAATACCCAACTTGCCAAAAGCCGAAGCCCTCTCAAATATCTCTGGCAAAGAAACAATGCAAAAAGAGGTGCTCACAAGTTTCCTCCTTCTCCTTACAAAGAATAAACACGTTCACCACCTTATATGCCTCTTTTTTTGGCAATTTGTCACACCCATAGGAAAGCTTGAACCGTACGATGAATATTTTCCACGGCCGGATCATCTCTCTGTGCCTATCATTGCACAACAACATGTAAGCAGACCGAATAGAGAATCTCATCATTCTCAGTCTCCCAAATCACCTCATATTCTAACTCCCTAGCAATGTACACATTGCAAAGTTCATGTAATAAAGCCACAAATTCTTCACCCACTCTCCCCATCTCTCTCATATGCTGCCTCAACAAGCTAGGCCTGGTCTTGAGCCCCACCTGTTTCATATTTGGGCTGGGATGTCTCAAGGGCCGACCCGTACTACATAGTTTTTGGGGTGAGTTGGATCTTAGCATGCCAGAAAAGATTTACGGAAAATTACAAAAACCCCCTTGATTCTACTTTCCTTACAACCTTCCCCTAACTAAGTTTTTTCCAAAAATCCCTTTTCCACTACATGAAGGCGCTCAATCATCAAAGACGGTCCGACACATATTACTGTCTGACTGGAACCTATATCACATTAACTGCTGGACTGAGGCATCATAGCGTCGCACAGGCAAAACTGTCGGACTACAGCAACGATTTGCCGGACCGCATTTATAAGTGCTGAATCGAGGAATCATAACTGCCGGATCACAACAACTATCTGCCAGACTGCATTTACAAGTGTCGAAGCGACGACATTCAATGACCAAGGGGAGGGCATTTTGATCCAAAGAACTATAGCTTTTTGACTTGGGGGTATTTGCTATAAGAATTTGTTTTGGGTTAAAAGTTGCGATAAAAGAGTTGGTTTAAGGGGGGGTGGTTGGGGTTTTCAAGAAAGTTGAGCCGAATGGGGGTTTTTGTAATTTTCCCAAAGATTTATGCTTGGCTTGGATCGGGTCCCCCACCCCCTCCCTCCCTCCCTCCCTCCCTCCCTCATGTCTCATTGGTTCATTTATTGCACGGCCTAGGCCTCAGCCTCAGCAAAACCTCATGTTTATCTTTCTCATTTAAGGGTCCCTTTTTTGCACTCACCAAAACCCCTCCCTCCCTCCCTCCCCCCTCCTCAAAAAAAAACACACAAACCATGTTTTTTGATAAATTCAGAAACCCCAATGTAAATAGTTAGAAACTTAACAACTGTAAATACTTAAAAATTGAATTTGAAGCTCTCAAAATGCTGCAAATCTAATAGATTTAGTGGCCATTCAGTAGAGCAAAATCAAGTCTTGAGATAGCAGTCTCCAAGTCCAATTATTTTTTTAAGAATAGAATTCAAGGGGATGGAACCCCTGATTGTTTGGATCCCCCAAACATGTTTTTATATAGATTTAGGTGAAGGCTTTACAGGGTTTTGGTGAGGTTGGGATGCTAAAATATCTTATATGACAATCTTACTAGTTATTGGTGGGTGCAGATGGGGCAGAATGTGTGGTTATAAATCTGCTTCAATGAAGGTAAATGTACTTGTAAAAATAGAGTAGTAGGGTCATACGAGTAACCATGGTTGTGCTTGAGTTAGCAATTAACATTAGCAACACCATATTTTAAATTTGATTCTTACTGTTGAATTATCAAAAACAAATAATCTTAAAGTCGATTCTTACTGCTGAATTACCAAAAAAAAAAAAAGGAAAAGGAAGGTTATCCCTACAATGACATTTCATCAAGGAAAAAGTTTGTATAAGGTTGCAACCTTAAATGTAGAATTAAGGTGTACTCAGAAATACATTGGAAAAGGTTGTCTTGATGTCGGAAGACTATGATTGATATCTCGAAATCAAGATGTATGGAAATGCAAAAAAAGAAAAGGTTTCTTGCAACAAATTACTTGGACCATCCATTTTCAAGATTTTCAAGTGTTTATAGATCTACTTATTTCGAACCATTTTTTGAGTTTAGAACTTTATCATACAGGTAAAAATAGATTATCAAGCTATCCTAAAAATTGTTGACACCAAAATCACATCTTTGATAAAATTTGGTACTCCGACGTAATTTGATTGTTTAAAGATGCAACATTATGCAAACCACACCCTTCATCAAATAGGTTGACAGTGATGGACCCATGAGGGTCCCACCAAATGTGTCATTCATTCAATTACATGGTTTCCTCTTCATCATCGCAACTCATCCCAAAAATTGGATGGTGATGGTCCTTATAACTCATTTATTGGATGGTGATGATCCTTGTTTTGGATCATCCAATGTTTTTACAATATATATTTAAAAATAGAAATGCATATGATGAGACAACCTTTGTTTTGATACCTCCATGTATTATCCCATTTCCAATATGGATTACAGAAAAGTATTTGGTCAATCAGTCTACAAACATGTTCCCCTAGTTTTTGAAAGATTTAAGACCCAAAATACATAAGGATTGTCTACAGAGATATCATTTATCTTTTGTATATGGAAACCACAACCATTCTTGTCCATTAAATTTTAAAATGTGTGGTTGTAAGAGTGTTATTGAATAGATACAAAATTCCAAAAAAAAATTTCTCATACTTCATGACTCATCCCAAACCATCAAATTTGATATCTAATGAGTAGGAATGATTGTGACTCCCATGTACAAGAAATAAATGATCTTTTTATAGACCATCCGAATACATAAACTATTATAAAGTACTTACATAATCGATAAATTTGGAGAGAATAAAAATGAAATCTAGAAAAAAAATACAAAAAGTTCTTTTTCTTTGTTAGTTTCTTGGTTGTGGTGTTTGAGATGATCCACCTGCAAAATTTTGGTCCAAAATTGATTTGCAAGGTGAATTTTGGGAGAGTGGACTCATAGCGTGTATAGATATATAAACCCTACCTTTTAAATAAAACCCTACCTTTTAAATTAGGAAAAATAGTTTATAAGGTTGAGGCCTTAAACAGTATAATTAAGGTACACCTCAAAAAATATTTAGAAGAGGTTGTTTTGATGTCACAAAACCCTCAAATCAATCATATCGACCATGAGATGTATA